CTACAATTACAGGCTAAGTTCTTTTCCCTTAAAATCTCCATAAGAATTCATGCAAACTCATTGAAATAAGTATAGAATCGAGTAGTAATCGCAAGAATCAATTTTGTAATGAATCTGCATAGTTGGGCAAGAACCCTAGTTTCATAAAACCATAATAATCGAAAAAGGAGTCTGATGTTTGGGGCATAAGGGAGAAAAAAACCCTTACTGAATACCCACATACTTTGTGGATGAAAATACTTGCAAGAAATCTGAAGTTGACGCTTGGAGGAGAGAACCCTAGGCCTGAAAATTGGAGAAGGCGCTCATTTTCTGCTTGGAACTTACTTGAGAGGAAATTGATTTGTTTCAGGTAGTTTTTGACTAATTAATTAGTCTTAGATGAATTGAAACGATGTAGTTTAGTACCAAACGCATAGAGGGAAAGACCAATACCACCCTGACTTAAAACTGACGAGGTGACTTAAAAGAGGGGCTTCACGGGCCGTTTAAAGCACCACGACCCGTCTAGTGGGTCGTGATGTTGCTCTGCCCTACAGGGCTTCACTAAAACGAGCACAACTTTTTACTCTGGGCTTAAAATTAGGCAAACTCGATGGTGTTGGAAAGAGGACTCAAAGACCTTTAATTTGATAGGTCATGGGCCACCTAATGCATTTTGTGCTGAGAGATATGATTGTTTTAAGTTGACACAAAATTTAAAAACTGCTAGGTGACTTGTACAAACCCTTAGACGGCCTGTCCAAGTCCCCACGAGTCGTCTAAGGCGCCATCTAGGTGACTCCTGCCCGGGCACTCCTGGATGGTGGTTCACGATGCCCTTAATGGGTTGTGAACCCCTAAACGGCCAGTCTAGGGTGTCGTGGAGGGTCCATGGTCCATTTTGGGTTTGTGGACTTGCCCGTTTGTTCTTTTAGCCCTTTCTCGAAGTCTGAGGTGTTACACGGGCCCTACCTCTACCCCAAGTTGGGGTCTCAACAACAGCCTCAGGGACTGCCTCCCCTCTACCATAGGAAATAGAAGCTCTGGTCCTCAGCATCTGCCAAAACAACACGCGGCAACTCAGCATTAGCGAAGGCAACCACGCATGATAAGAAATGATGAATAAAAAGAAGTTTCCTAACAATCTTTGTAGCCTCTTGAAATTAAGTACAAACGTCTTTGTACCGATCCTTAGAACTCTACTTAGACTTAGCTTGTACACACGTGAGACCTAACCTGAGCTCTGATACCATTTTGTCACGACCCAAAAATAGACGTGATGACACTTTTCAATTCGCACTAAGACAAGTCAACCTCAACCCAACAAAAACGAAAGAAATGCAAAAATACAGTAAAACAAGAACAAGACAAAGGCAGAAAACTTATTCATTCTAAACAATACCCCAAAACCTGGTTGTAACGTATACAAGACACTAATGAAAATACAGAATTTGAAAGATAAATACAAGTCTGAGTTTTTGTTTCTCATGTAGAACAAAGCTTAAAGAGAAAGGAAAAGAGGGTCTGCCAGGATGACAAGCAGCTACCTCTCAAAATCCTTCACGAGCCTCAATTGTCAGGATAAGAAGAAGAAGATCACACGGGTCCAGGCTCGGAACCTACACTAGTGTAGAAGCAAGGGGTGAGTACCAACAACACAATACACAACAAGCAACCTACTAAACAAAGCAACTAGCTAGAAAATGAATACCCCTGACTCTCCAACCGAACCTCCTCAAACTACCATTTGCAGAGAAATCAGCCCAACCTAGAAATTCTACAATATACGGCCCACAAGGCCCAATATTCACAATCTAATAGCAACAATTTAACAAGTAAACGAATCAAATAAGTCAACCTCAAAGTCAAGTAGTTCAATCACATGCAACAAGTATGTCAATTACAATTAACAACCAACTCACACATAAATATCATATACATCAAGTCACAATAGTCAAACTCTTTCTAGAATCATTTCCCATCGGCTTTATAACCACTTGTCGGAAATGATCTCGGCATCACAACACTCGCCGGCAAAGACCTCGGCATAATAGCACTCGCTGGCAAAGACCTCGGCATATTAGCACTCGCCGGCAAATACCTCGACATCATAACACTCGTCGGAAATGACCTTGGCCTAATAACACTTGCCGACAAAGACCTCGATATAATAACATTTGCCGGCAAAGACCTCGACATAACAATCATCATATGTCTTATCACGGTGTTCACCGATCAATGCATACAGTAATATCACACCACAAGGAAGAGACAAAAAATTCTACAATTCAAGTCGACATTCATGATTTCACGCATTTCATCAATCAATCACTAAGGGCACAATAAGAAAATTTACATTGTCATGTTCATCACATAGCCTTTTTCATTTCAATCCTTTTTTATTCATTTAGATGTAACAAGTGGACTTAAACCCTTCACCTCATCCCCATTACTCCCAACACACAAGCAACGAAGGAAGTACGAATTCTACTAGAATACAAGGTTTAGGAAGACACTTGCCTTAAATCAATCAACAATCACTCCAATAGCTGAGTCTTCCCCTTCTGGATCACTTTCAAAGCCACACAATATATGCACAAGCAAGTATTCACAATCATATTCCGGAAACAATAATACCTACATCAATTTCTCTTGAAAAGTGGATCAATCAACACAAACCCAATTCCAAAAATAGGGTTTGAATCTGAAATTTAATACTTGAAAATATTACTCAAGGCTTTAGGAATTCATTAGGGAAAATCATTTTGAAAAAGGACTTAAAATCAGTTCACAAACTCACTTTTACTTCAAAACTCAAGTTCATGAAGAACCCCCAATTTATCAACTCAAAATCTTGATTTAAACTCATAAATTTAATAATAATAATAATGGGTAATCGAAGATTTAGAGTTAAGAAACGTTACCCAATAATTTTATCTTGAAAAACCCACTGGAAATCACCTATACCAAGTTCTCAAAGCTCCAAAAATCAAAATGGGGAAGAAACCCAAAAAATTGGGTTTAAACATTGTTAGGGGTCCTCCGAGAACGCCGACTGCCCATGAACGCGGTCTTTAATGAGTTAGACCTCCACGAATGCAGTAGATCTCCCACGAACGCGGATATCAATGCATTGGCCTCCCACGAATGCAGTCGAGACTCTGCGAGCATGGGGTTCTCACCTCTCCCCTCTGCGAATGCGGCCACAAGTTCCGCGAACGCAGAGGGTGCACCAGAACACAGAAAATTAGTTAACTAAAAAATCATCGAAAAGACCCTCAGAATTCGTTCGGAACCTTGTACACACAAACCACATATGCAAGTCAATTATAATGGACGTTCCAAACTCAATGGAACCGTCAAAACACAAATTTGAGGTCACATTGAGCTTACATCAATGAAAACCACAAGAAACTAACTCAATGCCTAAAAAGGCAAAAACAAGCTCGGAGGCTCTCAAAAATCAACCAAGACCTCACCTAGGCCTAAAGTCATCCCTCAAATCGAACGGAACTCTCAGGATTCCGATCCGAGCATCCGAAACTTGAATGTTGACTAAAGTCAATGCAAAGGCTGAAAGTCCACAATTTCATAACTTAGGACCTCGAATCCTCAAAAAGACTCGAAATCAAAAACTGACAACTATTAGGGATCAGATTTCACATTTTGGGACTGATGGAATCGACGAAATTTCATTCCGACACTTGAAACTCCAAAAGACCCCAAAACTACTTTCTTAACAACTTCGGGTTTAAAACTCACAAGCTTAACAAATGCTCAACTTTTAACTCAAAATTCAAAAATAACTTTCAAACTCAATCATAAAAGACTCGGGGTCCACATCGGGAGGGAAAAACGGTAAATTCATGAAACTTTCCAAAAATGACCGACCGGGTCATTACACTAATGGAGAAGGTGGAGAAGTGTTGCCAATGCACATATTTCGGAGCAGAATAGGGTGGTGGACCTACTAAGTAAGGGGGTCTTAGGAGTAGTACTTTTAGAAAACCCACCTTTTCGATACGTTTTCTATTGTTTGCAAAGAATGCAGTTCAGGCAGACATTTCAGGATCAATATACTCAAAGGAAACTTAGTTTTTTGTACTCTCTTTGTCCCAATTTATGTGACTTACTTTCCTTTTTAGTCAGTCTCAAAAAGAATGACACATTTCTATATTAAGTAACAATTTAACTATAAAGTATCTATTTTACCCTTAATGAAATGATTCACAGCCATACAAATTTATATCATTCATTTTGAACCACAAGTTTTAAAAGTCTTTATTTCTTTCTTAAATTTCGTGCTGAGTCAAACCACCTCATATAAAATGGGACAGAGGGAGTAATACTTATGTATATTGCCAAATTTTGTTCCAAAACACTAACATTCATGTTGCCTGCGACAGACCCATTTCATACCAGTATTTTAATATAACTATCCCGTTAATAAATAAAAAATCCTATCATATCAAAATCCTTCTTATGTTCCCTCTTTTTTTTTATAAAGTTGAAAATTATTCAAGAAAAAACATGTTATAGGGATCTGTTGTGCCAACTGGGGAACCCATATAACATAGTTTCAGAGAGGAAAATGTGCTAGCAAAGGAGGGCGCTATGATGAAGCAAGTTAGCTCCTTCATATTTTGAGAAGTTCTACCGTTGTTTATTTCGGATGAAGTAGAGAGAGCCAAGTAAAAACTCTTTTTTTGTTTCGCTTAAACAACCAATTTTACCTCGGATAGTTGTAGTAACAATAATATTCTTCCCCCTCCCCGACCATTACTAGCGGACAAGTCGCTCTGCCACGACTATATAATGATGCATATTAAGTATTAATATCATCTCCTATTTACCCAAAAAAGAAAAGCATTTCAAAATCATGAATAGTACTGATAAATATATAAAAGATATAAGAAATAAAATAGAAAACCATTAATTATTAGATGTTTAATTTGCTATATCCATATATACCCTAATGAAATATCATGTGCAGTGACAAGCAAGTGCAACAACATGTTTTCTCATAGTTTGATGAAAAGTGAACTCCCTTCAATTATTCCAGAAGAGACTTAACAAATTTCCATAAATTGCTTTAACTTTTTGTTAAGAGACGAAGCCAAATGTTGCTCTAAAATCTACATAAAGTCTATACGCTTATAATATGACGATCATCGATAGACACAGAGTTGCTGTTAAATCAAATTAAATTGAAAGCCTCAGCTCCAAATCTAATTCATGGTCGCCGTTTGACTCAGAGATATGACTAGTACTTGATCCAATTGAGTTATTATTTCTGGTTCGATTCTCCATTGACTCCTGTAGTTCATTCATCAAACAATAAGACATAACAAGAAGAATATGAAAATTCCAATTATTCGATTGAGAAATGCAAGAAAATACCTCTATTTGTAGGCTAAGTAGATATCTATTCATGTTTGGCTGAGCAAACTGCTGAGGCTCATACACTGTACCAGGATGCCAAGCACTGAATGTGATGATAAAAGGTAAAAAAGATATATTAGCAAAGATATAATAACTGTCCTAATGAAATGATTTATTTAGGGGGAAAAAAATCGATCCGAAAACATATGTGTATGTTTTAAAATTAAGAAGGATTTTGAGCATATTTTTCATTGATAAGGTTTTCGAGGAATTACAAGTAACAAAACACATTTAGGTTGGTCAAATATTTTTTTCTAGGAAAACAAGCTCTCTAATGAAAGTTGGGAAAATAAGCGTTGCTACTATGGACGTTCTATATTGATCGTGTCATCTTCATCCTCCAACACACTTCATCTTCACCCCTATCCCTCATCCTCACGTCCCATAGTATTTGTCTAAATTATATATACGGATGCGATAATAGTTTTTCACTTGCCTACACAATTAATTTCTAAAAAACATTTTCCTTCACACACCCTTAAAGTGCAAATTAATTAAATTTTCTTTTAAGTAGGAAAATAAATAGTACCTAGCTGTTGAAGGTGGCTGGGAATCTCCATATCTAATATTTGCTCTTTCAATGTCCCCCAATCCCATCTGAAATCACAGAAAGATTTGTTATCTCAAAATGGAGAGGGGAAAATATCTTGTAATTGCACACCACACCACACATACATAATTCCCAAAATAGGATAAAATAAATCAATTTTTAGTATCCAAACATATGGTACAATTTTTTCATTGTTTAGGACACTTTGTAATGTAATGTTCATCTATTATCAAAACCAAGTCATTTATGGATATTATTAGGAGGGCCCCGCCGTGCAGGTCCAGTCTAGTCTACCTTTCGATCCATAAGGATCAGAATCAAATGAATGCGCATTATCTTCCCATAATATTGGAATTGTTAAAAAAAAAAAAATAGAAAGTAGGGGTACCATAATGGTTTGCTGTGGTGTAAAAGCATAAGAAGAAGTTGATGAATATGAAATTGATGGAGTTGATGGATAAGGGTTGTAATTAGTATTGCAACCCATTTGAGTATGCAATCTAATTTTCTCAAGTTGAGCAACACCAAGACCTCTTTGTGGTTGTTTTGGTTTCTCTGAATTGCTCTTCTTGCTCTTTCTTGATGATGATCTTTCATTTCCTAACTTTGGTTCACCAAAATAACAACTTCCCATTCTTTCTCTTCCAAAAATAATTAGAAAACAAATAAATTTGTGTGTCAAGTTGTGAAGAGAAAGGAGATCTCCTAAAAGGGGGTTTTATGCTCTCCAACTTCCCTATTATAATTTTGTAATTATTGCATTGCTGGATCAGATTGTCTATTTACATTTATCAGATTCATTTCATTTTTATACTTGCTTGGATTTTATGCCCTTTTATTAATTTACTCTTTTTTTTCTTTTTTTGTCAACTTCCAAAAATATCCAATATTATTACTCACTCTGTCCAACAATAGTTATCCATTATTGATTTGGCACACCCCTTAAGAAACTATAAATAGAAGGATAATAAATACAATGTCTTGAAAAATGTGATAGGAAAATGACTATATTTAATGATAAGGGTAAATTAGGAACTAAATATAAAATCATTCATGGATTTCATAAAGTGGAGTAGTATTGTTGGACATCTATTTTTAATATATAGTGAATAAGTATTGTTGGACAGAGGGAGTAATATAGTTTGATTTGATACAAAATTTAAGAAAATAAAGAAGATTTATCAATCTTGTGGTTTTAAATTAAAATTATAATAAATGTATCAAAATGCACTTTAATATTGTGGTATTAAATATATCACGTACTGTTTCCAAAAAAAAAAGGCTTATTCTTTTTTAGATGGAGAGAGTTAATTTTTGTGATCGTCCCTCTATCATATACTCATATTTATTTAATGCAATTATATATACAAAATCTTTTTTTTTTCTTGTGCGCTTCGATTCCACGTTTCTTCTCACTAACCCAACCTCCTTAATTAATTATTTTTTTCTTACCTCTCTTGGGAATTGACTATAATAATGATCTTCTATAATATTATTACGTGCACCTTACTTGCGTTAAAAAAAATTGTATGGATGATAATATATTTGTTTTAGAAATAGAATTTATACCCTATTTCTTGAATATCCATTATGTGTTAGCATTTATTAATTCCGTTGTAGTACTCCGTCTAGTCCAATATAATGAAATGTTGGCAAAAAAAATTATAGTTCGAAATGAATGAATATTTTAAAGTTCAAAAATATATTAATTATTTTGGTTAATAGAATATAGAACCACCTTTCTTTTTAATGGGTCTTTTAGCTACTTTTAAATCTCAAATAATGACTATTTTTATTTTAAAGAAAAGTTTGAAAAGAGTCACAAAAATAATTTTAACAATTTGAAATTTGATTAATGTATTTAAATTTGTATTTGGACTAAAGGGAGAAGTATTTAATAATTCTATTTGCTTATATACAAATTGGAAGAAATATAAGGAATTTTGTTATCTAGATGAGCGAGATGCAATGTGTCAATGTTCATGTTTGATTCTCATAAGTGATATATGACAATTATCTAGTGTTTGACACAGATTTTCAAATATAAATTTATTTATTTTTGTCCCTCTTTAGGAATATTTACCTTTTTGGTTCTTGCTGATTTGAACTCACAATCTTAGAATTAAACGTGAGGAGTTGTTGCCGTCCGATCAAGATCCCTCACATCCAACAAATTTTGGTGAAATAGATACTTGAAATCTTTATTAGCTACTTCGTAGGGATTGTCTTGTAGGATGAATAAACTTTTTGACCTTATAACCAATTACATGAAGCGTTGCATGGAAGGATTTTAAATTCCACAGCTGGGGTTTTATTTATTTTATGTTAAAAGAACTACTTTTTTTATTATTATTATTATTTGAAAACTGATGAGTCTCATGTAAGGAATAATTTAATGAGAATCAGATCTTGAATGTATATGTGTTTAAGATAACAATACAATTGTAATTAATGTGAACAATATACATTGTCTTTTTATAATTCATGGAACTTATTACAAAATCTGAATCCAAATCTGGGGATAAATTTTACTGGTAAAGAAATAAATTATGAATCCGGCCTTTCATTCCCTTTTAAGTGATTTTTTGGTCTTTTAATTTATTCCAAAGTACGTATTTTTTTAATAAAAAAAGTATTAATTTATTTTTATTTACAAAAATACCCTTATCTAATAAATGTTTTGATAAATTTTTTATAAAAATTTTCAAAGGTTTCTTACAATTTTCAATGCATATATTAAAGAAATTTTATCTATTTTTAGCAAAATGACTTACTTAGGGTGTGCTAAATATACTTAAAATAAACGTAGGAAGTATAGAAGAATTTCAAAGGTGTAAATCATAATCTAATCAAAGCTGTTAGGCGCATGATTTGTGGGGCATATTTTATGAGTTGTTTCGTGGTGGAAAGAGAGAATCCACTCATTTTTCAAACAAACATGTGAACTCTAGCAATTACAATTACAAGAAAACAAATCTTTTAGGATGGTGTATCGGTCGGTTTGGTTTGGTTTTAAAATTTATCAGTTTGACTTATTGGTTATCGACTTGTGAACATGTTAAATCATTATAAAACCATGAAGATATTGGCTTATCAATAATCGGTTTATCAATTATTGATAGTTATCAATTTGATTATCGATTTAACTATTAAGATTTGAAACAAAAAAGTATAATTAATAATCACTTATAAATAAGGTGACAAACCAAATAAACCATGCACATGAAGTGACAAATTGCATTTTGTGCAAAAGCAAGCACCGACACATTGTAGAATAACTAAGAGTTTGAGACAACTCAGAAATGAAAATATGAAACTAAGGCCTAAGTTAAGGACTTTATATATCGAATGGTATAAATATAATTTATTATTGGACTATCGGCTAACCCATTAAGTAAAAATATCAAACAGTTAAAAATCGATAACCCGATAATTAAAAAAGTGAAAACCATTACCAAAACCGCTAAATCAATAAATTAATTCATTATAGATAAATCATTACCGTTATTCCAATTCAAATTATCGATTTTAATTTAATTTTGAACGACCCTACCTCGAAGCATCATATTCTTTTTCAAATCTCTTCCTCCTCTTTTCCAATTTAACATAATTTGTTTGCTTGTCACTCCAAAGGAAGTCAATTTTTAAGGGTCCATTCATGGGGTAACTATAAAGTACTAATGTTTAAGGTTTGATAACTTAGGGTGTTTAATTGGTAGGAAGGAAAAAGTTTTTCATGGAAAATATTTATGTAGACATTGTTTTTGGGGAGAATTTTATTATTGAAATATATATTTTTTTGAAAAATAAGTGACTTTCTTAATTACTTACTTTTTAAAATATATTTATTAGGTATGGTGGGAAGTGGTGGTGGGGCCAGAGTGTATGGAATGTTGAAGATGGACGTTATTTGCTTAGATCAAGATTTATTTTTAGCAATAGTAATTATTGTGAGGAGTATTTTTTTTTAGAGTCAAACTATAAATGAGGAGCATGTTTCTAATTAAAGATATTGTTATAGTTCATTAAGTTGTTAGATATATTGATTCTTTGTTCGATATATTGTAAACATAATTATTTTATGAAAAAATTGTTATAGGTGTTTGATTTTTAAGTTGTAAAAACTTTCAAGATTGGAGTAAAATTTTGAAAGAGACATTGTAACTATGCAGAGAAAGGTACTAGAGTTAACTCCTTTGGCTACAAAGTTATAGCCTAAAATTCACTCAATTGAATAAGCAATATGAGTTATTTGTAGAATTTTACAGAGAGATTTAGATGGAAACTGAAAACTTTCATTCATCACAATTAACTATACATCAGCTACACTACATGTGTATATATACAGCTTCTAGATCTAACTGATCACTGACAAGTTTAACTAACTATCTGACAACCTAACTAACTTTCTAATCAACTTAAAATAAAGCTAATTATCTTGATTAACTAATTGAATTAATCAACTGATCAATTAACCAATTCCAATACTCCTCCTCAAGCAGTATGTACTGAACAAGTTCAATACTCCAAGCTTGTCTAGTAAGAATTCATGTTGCGTCCTTCCCAAAGCCTTAGTAAGCAAATCAGCTTGTTGGTCTTTAGTGTTGATGTAGGTTGTCTTGATGAGTCTTTTCTGAATCTTCTCTCGAATGAAATGGCAGTCAATCTCTATGTGTTTAGTACGTTCATGAAACACTGGGTTTGCAGCAATTTGTATAGCAGCCTTGCTATCACAAAAAATAGAAGATGGTTCAATCAGTTTTACATTCAATTCCCTGAACAAGCCAGCAACCCATACTACTTCAGCTGTCAAACTAGCCAAACTCCTGTACTCAGCCTCTGCAGAGCTCCTAGAGACAGTATTTTGCTTCTTGGATTTCCAGGAAATGAGCGAATCACCAAACTTCAATACAAAACCAGTAACAGATCTTCTTGTATTTGGACAGGCAGCCCAATCTGCATCACAGTAGCCTGTTAAGTGAGGTCTGTGATCTGAGCTCATCAACAGTCCCTTCTCTGGTTCCAGTTTAATGTATTTTATCACCCTTAGAGCAGCAATCCAGTGTGACATTTTTGGTTGTTGCATAAACTGACTTAAGGTCTGTACTGCAAAGGCTATGTCCGGCCTTGTGTTGGTAAGATAAAGCAGCTTACCTATAAGCCTTTGGTATCTAGAAACATCCTCAAATAAAATGTCAGTAGTCTTGATATCTTGATCAAACTCAACATTGGTCAACTTTATGTTGCATTCTAGTGGTGTCAAACTTGGTTTAGCATTTCCCAACCCTGCTTTAGCTATCAACTCCAAAGCATATTTCCTTTGGTTCATCACAAAACCTTTGCTAGATCTAAGGAACTCAATTCCCAAAAAATATTTAAGTTCTCCTAGATCTTTAATTTTGAAATAACTGTGCAGTACACACTTGGTTTCTTCTATTAACTCAATGTCATTTCCTGTAATCAACAGATCATCAACATATACCAAGATTATTACCAAGCTAGATCCACTCCTTTTAGTAAACAAAGAATAATCGAGGTGACTCTGTGTATAGCCTGAATCAAAGAAAGCCTCTGTCAACTTGGCATTCCATTGTCTTGATGCTTGTTTAAGTCCATAGAGTGACTTAACAAGTTTACAGACTAGATATTTATTCTTCCCCTGACCACAAAATCCCTTAGGAAGTTCCATATATACCTCCTCAGACAAATCACCCTGTAGAAAAGCATTGAATACATCCATCTGAAAAATCTTCCAGTTCTCAGCAGCAGCTAAGGCTATGATTGCCCTAACAGTCACCATTTTCACTACAGGTGAAAAGGTTTCTTGATAGTCAATCCCCTCAGTCTGACTATAACCTTTAGCTACTAATCTTGCTTTGAATCTATCAATCTCACCATCAGCCTTATACTTGATTTTAAACACCCATTTGCATCCTATAACAGTCTTTCCTTTTGGCAATTGAACTATCTCCCAAGTACCATTTTCTTCTAATGCTTGAATCTCTTGTTGCATGGCATGTATCCACCTAGTGTCTTTTATTGCTTCTTCATAGTTCCTAGGTTCAGTCTCTGTGGAAAACTGAGACAAATAAACCTTATATTGAGGAGAGACACCATCATAAGACACATAGTTGCTCTGAGAATAAGGGTGAGATGGCTTAGACCCTTGAGTAACATAGTCTTTCATCCAAATGGGGGGATGAGAAACCCTGGAAGACTGTCTACTTCCTCCTGCCTGGGCTCTTTCATCAACATCTGCATGATCCGCATTTTCTGTATTTTCTTCAGCTATACCTGGTTGATCATTGGTAATATTTTCCACATAAGAATCATCATGCTCAGAACATTCAACATTCAGATCTACCAAGTTGTCTTCTATGGACATAGGTGTCTTATCAAGTTCATCATCAATCATGGGAGGACTGTTACTTTCTGAGAATACTGGTGGTTGTGTGTTGGTCATCTTATAAAAGGGAAATACATCCTCCTTGAAAACAACATCTCTATTCACCAAGAGCTTCTGTTGAAACAGACTGTACAAAATATAACCCTTCTGAGTTGCTGAGTATCCCATCATAACACATGCCTCAGCTCTAGGAGTGAACTTATCAGGCTTAACCATTCTAGTTGCATAGCATAGACATCCTATTGTCCTGAGATGATCAATATTTGCCTTATGGCCATTGAATTTTTCATAAGGAGTTTGTCCCTTCAAAACTTCAGTAGGTAATCTGTTAATCAGATAAACAACAGCTAATACACACTCTCCCCAAAATCTGATGGGAATAACACCTTGAAATCTTAGTGCCCTTGCTACCTCAAGTATGTGCCTGTGTTTTCTCTCCACCACTCCATTTTGTTGTGGAGTGTGAGGACAACTACTTTCATGAATAATACCAAGAGACTTAAACAAAGCACTGCATTCATTATTAAAGAATTTTGTGCCATTATATGATCTTATCCTTTTGACATGCTTGTTAAACTGAGTTTGAACTAAAGCAAAAAAAAACTTTAGAACTTGGAAGACATCACTCTTCATTCTCAACAGATACAACCAGGTCATTCTTGAATTATCATCAACAATTGTCAGAAAAAATCTACAACCATTATGAGTAGCAGTCCTATATGGTCCCAAATATCTAAGTGAAGCAAGTCAAAAACCTCAACAGCTCTAGATACACTTGAGTGGAAAGGCAATCTGGTTTGCTTTGCAAGGGGACATATTGAACATTTATTACATGCAGTAATGTCTATATTCTCCTTTCCTAGAGTTACATATTTCAAGACCTTTATTGAAGGGTGTCCTAGCCTGTAATGCCAAAGGAGCTTGTGTGCATCTGAGTGTTGAGTGAGGGACACCATATCATCATTCCTTCCTTCTCCACATGGGTTCTGAATAGGGAAGTAGTAGAGTCCATCAATCTCCTTACCAATCCCCTTAACTTTCCCATTGGAGAGGTCGTGAAGAACAAAAAACTCAGGAAAGAAGTTAACTGAGCATTTCAATTGTCTTGTAATCTGTGATACTGAAATAAGATCATGCTTGAATGCAGGTACCACCAAAACATTATACAATACATTGCCATCAATAGTCTCACATTTACCAACATAAGACACTGAAGTAGATTCACCATTAGGTAAATGCACCCTCCTGCCTAGACAACTAGATGCAGATGTCAATTTATTGAGCTTAGATGTCATATGGCATGTAGCACCTGAATCCATTATCCATCTATCTCCCTTTTCGGTTTCTCTAGTTGTCACTGATAATGCTTTGGGTTTTGAAATTATACCTGCCATGTTAGCCATATCCAATGCACCTTTGGAGCTTGATCCTTCTTCCTCTTTGTCCATCATGTGCTTATACTTGTGATACATGTTCTTCTCTTGGAGCAAAGGGCCAAAAGCATCATCAGAATCATCATATCTGGTAGCATTTGCATGATTTGCCATGTCCTGTTGCTTATTATTCTGAACTTGATTTGCTGGTGGTCCTGACTTCTTCTTGAACTTCCAATCAACAGGGTATCCAATTAACCTGAAACAATTTTCCTTGATGTGGCCTTGCAATTTACAGTGATCACATATTTGATCCCAATTCTTCTTTTTATCCTGAAATTTTCTCTGAGAATTCCCCTTCCCTGCATATAATGCAGTTGGATCTAGAATTCCTTTCCCTGCATACAGAGCAGTTGGATCTAAAATACCCCCCACTGCATGTGAACTTGCAGTCATACGTTGGCCTTCATCTGCCATCAACATAGCATATGCCTTTCCAACAGTAGGTAGAGGGTTCATCATCAGGATTTGACTTCGTGCATGACCATACACTTCATTCAATCCCATCAAAAAAGCAAATAGTCTCAAACAAGCTAGGTGATCAACATAAGTTCTAGATTTATCGCATTTGCATGAAGGTGGAGAAACCAGTGCATCAAACTCATCCCACAACAATCGCAATTTCGAGAAATATGTTGAAATTGTCAAATTACCTTGATGAATCGTGCAGATCTCCCTGTGTAGTTGATAACTTCTCGATCCGTCAACCTTATCAAATCTCTCTTTCAGATCTGTCCACACCATGGCTGCATCTGTAGCATAGACAATCCCACTGAGCAGCTCCTTCGACACAGTGTTCATGATCCAAGCAAGTACAAATGCATTGCACTTCTCCCATTGCTCTTCCAGTTCACCTTGATAAGCACTCTTCTTGCAAGTCCCCAACACAAATCCCAACTTACTCTTGGCTCGAAGGTTAATCAACATGGATCTGCTCCATAGAGAGTAATTCTCCATCCCTGTAAGCTGCACAGTGGTGAGCACACTAGCAGGAGTATCTGAGTGATGAAGGTGAAGTGGATGGTTTCGCTTTCGATCGACATCATCGATAGTTTCAACTGTAACAATTTGTGATGCATCAATGGTGACAGCTTCAGCATCTCCCATCTCTCTGGTTCTTCAATGTTCGAATTGAATTGCAACAGGATCGTATTGAACTGACTGATTAGCAGTTCAGAGCTCTGATACCATGTAGAATTTTACAGAGAGATTTAGATGGAAACTGAAAACTTTCATTCATCACAATTAACTATACATCAGCTACACTACATGTGTATATATACAGCTTCTAGATCTAACTGATCACTGACAAGTTTAACTAACTATCTGACAACCTAACTAACTTTCTAATCAACTTAAAATAAAGCTAATTATCTTGACTAACTAATTGAATTAATCAACTGATCAATTAACCAATTCCAATATTATTCATGATATACAAGGGAGAAATGTTTAATAATATTGTTGATGAATTAAATGTTTAATAAATTCATAATTACTAAAGAATTAAATTATCTTAGAGAATTCATTCCTCAAAGTCAAAGGATTGGGAAATTCTTCTAGATATTTTATATGAATCATGAAAAAGGTATGTTAATACAATTATTTAAGCCATGAAATTGAAAATCATGACTATGAATTATAAGCTCATGAAAAACTTGAAGATGAAGAAGCTCACAAGATCTTAAATGTAAATTTAGAAATTAGTATATTTCAACAATAGTCATGAGAAATGGCTATCATATTGTAATGAGTTAACTCTATCCAATTTTAGTTGTATTTTGTGGACGTTGAGTTTTATGTTCCGTTTTTTATTTTTGTGTTTGGAATTTATCACGTAATATATAAGGTAGAAATTAAGTTAATCCTCGTCCTCAAGGTGACATTTAATAATTAAAAAAAATCTAATAATTCACATTCTACTCTATTCAAAATTCTAATTCATGAGTAAATATCTATACCCATTTTTTTTTAAAATCCTTTTAGGCAAACCTCTCTAATATTAGGTGTTCTTGAATACCACATTTTAAGTTACTTTAATAAAGTAATCTTATTCTTACTCCAAAATCACAATAGAATATTTACTTAGGAAAGTGGAACAATATAGACATGTAGACCCCAAAGTTTGTCTCACGAAAGATTATTAAAAGGATTAAAATAACTTCATCACATTTTGTTTGTCCCAGGTCTGTACAACGGAATATTGGGTTATCAATAATAATATGGGTGTATTGAGAAAATGTTTTATGATTTTCTTAGGTTGGATTGGTCAAATTTTTTCGGATACTATATTTCTAGAATAATAAGTTTCTTAAAAATAAAGAAAATGACTTTTCTAATGAAAGTGACATTTCATATCGATAATATCATTCACACCTTCCAACACACCTCATCTTCACTCCTAGTTCTATCACCCATATGCCATAGCCATTCCCACCACCCCCTACCCTCAGGGGCCGATTTACCTATACCTTAGGTGTGTCAGGTGACACGGCTTCGTCAATTTTTTTTACGGAATATACCTATATAAAAAAAATAAAAAATAAAATAAAAGGTAAAAGAATTGAAAGGACACCCATTATAACAAAATGCTCCTAGCTCAGATGGCATAGGCGCTGCATGTAGTCCGCATTGATTCGAGTTCGATTCCCTATGGGGTGATTATTTTTTCTCCATTTTTATTCATGTTTTTTTTTGTTTTCTTTTTTTCTTTTCTTAAATTTATTAAATTTATGTTTTAAATTCAAAACAATAAGTCCCCTTCATTAAAAACCTACCGACCCACTCTAATTCATTCAAAATCTAACTTTTTTTTTTTTTTAGAATTAAAATAAAACTCAAAATCTTTGAGTCCTTTATCAATAAGAATCATAGTTAAATAAAAATAGTGTTGACTCCTTAAATCCTTGTAACTGTATATTTCTGACTTGTGAGTTTGTTCAATTTTCTTTTCGTTCTTGTTCATCAATTATTTGGCATCTCGAATCTCCACATCATGTTAGTATTTTTTTGCCATTCTATTTTTTTTTATTATGTGCTTGAATTTTAATTTTATTTGTTCATAATAATAATTTTTTTCTAGTGGCTTGTTACAATTAAATAATTTAGAATTAATTAAATTGATTACAATTGTCCACAAACCTCTATTATTTGATCCTCAATTACTAATTATGCAGATTACATCATATTAGTCTAAATTTAATGGAGATGTATTATTTTAAAAAAAATTACAACCGTTTGAATGATTCAAGCTTCAACTGACTTGGAAGAACAAGCTAATGAGTCAAAAAAAAAATCTATGAAGTGAAGGAATTGATTTAAGTTCATTGCCGATTGATCCGGGGGAAAGATTACCTATTTGAAAATATCATCCAAATGATTTTGATGCAATAATTTGGATCTTGATGCAATAAGGAGGTCATATCTTCAACAAGGTCATATGCTCCCTTTAATTAATAATATGAAGATGAGAATGATTTAATTTAAAATTTTAAAATATTATTTAATTAAAAGAGTAGACAATTTTTTAATTTTTTTTTAAATTTAATCAAAATTTTATATTTTTAAGAAAAATATTTTTTCATAAAGTTCACTATTAATGGGGCCTCAAATTTTTGGAGGCATAAAGCAAAACCTTAATTGATTTTCTTCTTGAGCCATTCTTGTCCCTTTAATGGTGACACCGCTTAGAAAAAATCCTGTATACGCCACTGCCTACCCTTCGCCTTCACCTTCCAGAATATTTGTTTAAAGAGAAAAGGGTCTGATATACCCCTCAACTTTGTCATTTAGAGCTGATATTAGGACTGGCAGGGGGACCGGGTCGGCCCGCCCCAGCCCGCGACCGGTTCGAGAACCGGCTCGCCGGACCCGGTCCCATCAAAATCTCGCGGGATGGGGGCCTTCGGGATAGGGGACCGGTACCAGTCCGGTTCACCCGTTGGTCCCGGTCGACCCGGCCCGGTCCCG